TGTGTGTGTGTGTGTGTGTGTGTGTGTGTATATATATATATATATATGTATATATATGTATATATATGTATATTGTATATATGTATATATGTACAATAAAATACACATGCTGTGTATATATCATATTGCCAAGGTTACTTGCAGATCCCTCGGAAGTGCGCCCATACTTATTATTACCTAATGGCTAGTCGTAGTCGATTGCTCATGTGACCATGTTCCTCGCGTTCTTATTGTTTATACCCGTTTGAAGTATCATACCCAAATAATGTGATGTATTACGATTTTTTTTTTGAGTGTTTTTGATATACATTTCTATAAGGTTCTCAATCACAGTCCCATTTTTTATTCTCACTGTGATACTCGCTCATGTACCAGGAAAATGCCAACATGGACCAGTTTCTTGCAAAGGTGCTCTGCTTGTCAGTAAACACACCCACAGAGCGCAAACTCGCACATCAGCTACTTGACATGGCATTGCCACTTTGCCACACACCTACTGTTCTGGTCAACTGGCTCTACAAAGACGTTCAAGGTAGGCTGCGAATGTCGTATGTACGTATAGTGTATATATGTTTATATGTATGTATGTATGTATGTATGTTAATACAAAAACCCAAATAAAAACCCTATACCAAAAACCATTCCATCTCGACCACTTCGATCTTCTTGAGGTTGAATCCTGCCCCTTTACTAATTCTCTGTCTTTTTACAATATCATACCTTAAGAAGAGGGCACCGATATTCCCATTTCAAAGTTTGAGGTGAGTTGTCCATGGCCCTTTTGTGGTGCACTATTTAACATACGTGTTTGTATATTCGTATGTATGCCTTAACGTTTGTATGTGTATCGCTGGCTATTTCCCTAGGTTTTAGGGTTCAGGGTTAACAAACCCTAGGTCTTATGTTACTGGCTGTGTGTATGGAGGTTCTATAGAGAGCTTACGCTTGGTTACAGCCCAGGAATGTTCCACACTTTTTGTCTTACACATACACAGACGCTTTATCTGTGCACGTAGGTATGTGTTCCCAAAATGGCGCATCGCACGACCTGTGTTGCTTTATCTTCTGCTACCGGTGACATGAAATCTCAGTTGGTCGAAGTGTGTGCAATGGAAATGTATTCACATCAATTCCAATACATACGACATGCACGTATGAGTACACTCGGCAACGTATGAGTACACTCGGCAACACAACATACACGTATGCATAAATACCAGTACATATTCTGGCATATTTGCCAGTATGCTGTATTGTAGCATGGCTACCTATATACCAGTGCGTATTCTAATATATCTGCATATATACATATTTGTCTGTATGCTAGGCTTTGGTAAATTTTCATTAACCATGGAATGGTTATATGTTCGCACACTAAGTGTATATGCAAAGATAACCATACACACATCACATCATCTTACTCACATGCATACATACTATTTTTACTCACTTGCCCTATTAATAAGATGTAGATATATGAGAAATATTACTCACATTCTTTTTATTATTACTCATTTATACTATTAATAGGATATAGGTGTGTTAGTAGTATTAATCACATACTTTATCACTCACATTTTTTTTGATAGGATGGTACGCGTGTTAGTAATATTACTCAAATACATTCACCCTATTGTTCACATTGTATTTCAGACCGATCAATTGAGAGATATACTTTTGATATTATTATCACTATCTTTATTGAATATATTTTGAATTTTTTTAACTTGATAGTCAGTCGAGTTAAACTATCACTCACAAACGGACATCTTACTGCACTTCCGGGTACCACAGGATGTGATCCCAGGGTATCTGATTAGGCATCTACCAACCTACATCGAACCGTTGCGAATTGCCTGTGGGAATGAGTACACCATGCGCAAGACACTCGGGTCACTGGTGGACTACGTCTATACACACCCGGCAGAGGAGGAGCCATTCAGGGTATGTACTATTAGATACGTGTTTGTGTATATGTTTGCATTTTCAGTTATTTTAGTTTATCTGTGCATATATATATATATATATATATATATATGTGTGTGTGTGCGTGTGTGTGTGTGTGTGTGTGTGTGTGTGTGTGTGTGTGTGTGTGTGTGT